TTAGTAGTAGTTTGGTTAACATATTGTCGCCATCGTAATATCATTTTAATGGAATGAGACAGATAAGTCACGCAAGAATCATTGTTATTATTATTATTGTTGTTGTTATTGCTATTATTCCTAATTTTCTTTTTATTATCATTATTATTACTATTGATTCTATTAGCAGCGCTGGTAGTATTTCAAATAGTAATCATAATGATAATAATAATAATGGCGGTTGTTGTATTCCATTTCGCTTTTACTAGCTTCATCATTACGGTTATAATCATAATTTGCACTGTTTTTATTATTATTGTTTTTCAGCAGCAGGCAGTAGTAATAGTAGTAGTGGCAGTAGTAATAATATTAGTGGCAGTAGTAGTAGTAGCAGCAATGTAAGTAATTGTAGTAGTAGTAATAGTTGTAGTAGTAATAGTTGTTGTAGTATTAGTAGTAGTAGTAGTAGCAGTAGTAGTAGTAAAAGTAGTAATAGTGGTAATGGAGGTGGTAGTGATAGTAGTAGATTTTTTTTTCTTGTTTTTGTAGTGGAATCACGCCATGACTAATCGAAGTTAAAAACCGGAAAGGAACGACAACGAATCGTTCAAGACAACATGTCACCGGAAGTCATCCGACAAGATGGCGGCCTTGATGGTGATGAGGATAATTATTATTTTTGTTGTTGTCAATGTTTTTATTTTAATAACGGAGTAGCAGCAGTAGTAGCCGTAGTAACGGTAAGAATAGTAGTAGCAGTAGTAGTAGTAGTAGTGGTAGTAATAGTAGTAGTAGTAAAAGTAATGGTGTGAAAATGAGGGTGTTGACGACAACTATCATGATGTATAAAAATTTTAATGTGATAAAACAAACAAGATGATGACGAAAAATCATTTATGGTCAAAAAATGATGATGAGGGTGATAATGATGATGATGGAACTGATGATTTCAGGAAATTATCCATAATTAAATTAATATTAGTGTAGCGGTTTCATTTCACAAAACTATAAAATTTATCAGCAAAATCATTCCTCATAATTTAACTCTACCAGACAACAACAACAACACAACAAAAACGTTTATACTAAAATCAACGTCACAGTAATAAGGCTAACGTTACATTACAATGACATTAATATTACGCAAGCCAATCATTAATAATACATTACATGTAGTATGTATATAACATGACATCAATAAAATCACACCGTAGTTTAGCCGCAGTCAAATCACGCTGGCATAACCACAAAAATCAGTTGCAAATGCTAAATGCAATGAATCAATCGCTGAAATCTTTTGGGTTCCATCTCACACATACACAAAGAATTATACACACATACACACGCACATTTATACATTCACACACCTGCATACAAACGTACAAATACTCACATACAAAGACAACAATGTCGTACAAACGCCAATGCTTAACACATACATTTACTGATTTACGTACAAAATGTACATACATACATACATACATATCTACATCCATACATACATACATACAGGCATACATACATGCAAACAAATACAATTACACCCAATACAAAAAGACCGGGAAATAGTGGTATAAAAATATACAAAAAATCCACACCAACCGACCGGCCGGCCAACCAGCCAACCAACCAGCCTGCCAGTGAACAGCTTCCTGTTTATTGAATAAATAACATGGCCTTCCGGCGGAGACCGTTTAGGTTGTTAGTTGTACCCCATGGGGAGTAGCATAAATAAGAAACATATGTGTAATGTAGGTATATGTGTGTGTGTAGGTGTGTGTGTAGGTTTATGTGTGTAGTAATGTGTGTGTATGTGTGTATTTTTAAATATTTGTGTGTGTATGTTTATTTGAAGGCATAATTGTTTGTATATTATTGTGAAGGTGAGTGTGTATGTCAACGAGTGTACTTATGGTTTAGTACAGTCAATTGAGCTGGTTGGAAAACATTTACGTCTGTTAAGTTTTGTATACGCGGATAGGTCAGGTGTGTGTATGTGTTGTGTGTGTGTGTGTGAGTGTGCGTATGCATGTATGTAGGTAAGTAGTTTTGTAGGTACGAAGAATGTATGCATGCATGCATGTATGCAGGTATGAATGTATGTAGGAGGTATATAGGGTCGTCATCATGTTATCATCAGCATCAATGTCATCTTCATTATCCTGATCTCTTTCATCTCAGTCACCTCTTTAAAATATTCAAAACAGTCGCTCAGGCTAGGACATATAAACTATATCACATATGTGTCTGTGTGTGTCTGTGTGCGTGCGTGTGTATGTATTGTATGTTTGTGTTTATGTATGTTTGTATGTACGTATGTATGTTTTTATGTTTGCATATATGTATGTTTGTATGTATATATGTATATACATGTATGAATATACATACATACATATACATGAATGCTTATAGGTTCAGTATATGCAGTGTAAATGCATTAATATACAACAACACGCTTCCTCTGCATTGACGTCATTCGTCACGTGATGCGTTTGACCTTGACCTCCCAGAGCATGACTGGTCATCAGGTGTTGCTGATACATGTGTGCCAACATACATACATACATACATTCATACATTCATACATACATACATACATTCATACATACATACATACATACATACATACATACATACATACATACATACATACATACATACATAAATACATTCACACATACAAACATACAAACATTTATGCAAACATACATACATTCATACATACAAACAAACATACACACAAATATACACACAAACATACACACATACAAACATACATACAAACAAACATACATACAAACATGCATAGTCTTCGTTCCCTTAGCGACTATTTTACAGTTGCGACCAGTTCAATTAAAAGTAACATCGGTCTGCTGGACTTTTCTGCATGTATGTTTGAGTGTGTGTGTGAGTGTGTACGTGTATGTTTGCACATGTGTGAGCATTTTTTTATGTGCGTATATACCTATGTCTCTTTCGCCATTCATACTACATACGCACGGAAATCCTTTTTTTCAGTTAGTTCTTCAAGATTGTCGTTTTTGCCTTTATATTTCGTCTTATTTTTATCATCCATTTCGTTGAAATTTTCAGATATTTCAGAAATAACATGAAATAACAGAAACCAACGTGGCATAAACACACGGAAATATTCTTACGCAGACAGTACGGATAATATTTAGACTGACTCACTTTACAGACAAATCTGGAGAGATATTCGAAGTGACATGAAAAAAAATTTGGGATGAAAAAATTAAGATGAAGCAAGAGAAAAGGAGAAAGAAAGAGAGAGAAAAACAGAAAGAGAGAGAGAGAAGGATACCAAGAAAAAGACAGAAAAAGAGAAAAAGAAAGAGAGAGAGAAAAAGAGAGAGTTATCGAGAGTCACTGGAGGGCTATCCTATTGACACACACGTAACCAATTAGTAGCGTTAATGTCCTTCGCAATTTGTTAACGTTTCGCTGATACTGGCCGACGATTCTACTTTCTATCACTGAGTGTCTGTTTGTATGTGTGTTTTTGTTGGTGTTTGTGTGTGTGTGTTTGTATGTGGGTTTGTTTCACGGAATATTATTATTTTTTAACTTCACATAATCGGGTCAAAATTTGAAACGTTGTTTATGCAATCACAACCTCAACTAACATTAATTTTGCAGAATTTTTCAACCATAAATTCATAATTTTTTAAAATTCGCATGCGTGAATACATGACGACGACGACGATGATGACGACGATGATGATGACGATGATGATGACGATGATGATGACGATGACGCCGATCAGCCATTAAATTATTTATCGGGCTCATGACCTCAACTCTGATTTATATGGATGGCCGCATGGCTAGACGTTTGGTTGACTGGTTGTTTGGCTGGTTGGTCGGTTGGCTGGTTGGTTTGTTTGTTGTCTGGTGGGTTGGTTGGTTGGCTGGTTGGTTTGTTGTCTGGTTGGTTTGTTGTCTGGTTGGTTGAATGGTTGGTTGGATGGTTGAATGGTTGGTTGGTTGGTTGAATGGTTGGCTGGTTGGTTGGTTGGTTGGTTGGTGGGTTGATTAATTAAATGTTAGATTAGTAAAAATATAATTCACTGGTTTGATTGATTGGTTGGTTCTTTAATGATTTATTGGTTGGTTGGTTAGTACTGATTGATTGGTTGATTGATTGATTGAATGGTTGGTTAGTTGTGATTGATTGGTTGATTGATTGGTTAATTAAATAGTTGATTGGATGCTGATTGATTGAATAGTTGTGTGATTGGTTGATTAAATATTTGAAGATCTACTCAGTTGGGAAGTATTTGACTGAAGAAAAAATGATATTCCGGGAAAATGAGATGAATGAATGGACAAACTAAATGAGCTAATGAACGAAAACGTAAATGAACGAATAAATGAATCAATTATCACATACGCCACGCATACACACACGCACCCATCACACACACACACACACACACACACACACACACATACATACAAACAATTATTGACGATGAAAATGTTTGATATCAATTTTTGTTTGTCCAACGATAGTGAGTGCGACATCTGTATGTTATGTCGTTCTGTAAAATGATGAAATGATGAAGATGGGAATGATGATGAGATGATGATGATGATGATGATGATGAGGAGGAGGAGCATGATGATGAGATGATGAGGATGATGATGAGATGATGATGAGGAGGAGGAGGAGGAGGATGATGATGAGATGATGAGGATGATGATGAGATGATGATGAAGAGGAGGAGGATGATGATGAGATGATGAGGATGATGAGAAAGTGGATGCAGATGATGATTTAGTGATGAGTTCAATTATGACAAGCTTTTTCAAGATAATCGCAAAAAATAATGTTTATCGTCTGCTATAATAATAAAAATATAAATAATCATCATAATTATAACTATTACCATTGTCACTACTGCAACAGCGATTGCTGTTACTATCACTACTACTACTACAACTACTACTACTACTACTTGTAATAATAATAATAATAATACTTTCAGGTATATCTTCTAATGGCATATAACGCATTCAAAGGTCAAATTATGAAGCACCATCCTCACCCACTTCATCATCATTTTCCAGTCAGCAGCAACAACAAAAATAGTAATAAGCACATCAACAACAATAACATCAACAACAATAATGACATTAACAATAACAATAATAACCTTAACGTAAATCACAATGAGGCTAAATACAGTAATGACGTCATCAAGGACCGCAAACTTGATGACATCGAGAAGGCAAGCAACGACAACGAAAGCAGCAGCAACAGCAGCAACAACCACAACAGCAACAACAACAACCACAGCAGCAACAACAACAACCACAACAGCAACAATCACAGCAGCAGAAACACAGATAATACAAATTTCGTAGACAACAACTCACTGCGCGGTAAGAATCATTCTGTCGGAAGTGATTTAAATAATAAGAATAATAATAATATAAATAATAATAATAATAACAATAATATGAATAATAACAAAAGTGACGATAAGGTTGTTGAGGTAAGAAGTAAAACTATTGACACCGAGGAAAACCACCTGAAAAATTATGGCGATGATGACTTTAATAACAAATATAACAATAATAATAAAAGTAATAATAATGATAATAATAATAATAACAATAATAATAACAATAATAAACGTTATAAAGAAAAGAATAATAAAAATAAAAACGCGAGGATGATAGCCAAAGATGATAACGACGATGAATGTGATGTCAAATTACACGACGACGATGATGATAGTGATGTTAATGATGATGATAATAGTGACGTAAATCATGATAATAGTGACGTAAATCATGATAATAGTGTCGTTAACGATGATGATGATAATAGTGACGATGACGACGACGATGATGATGATGACGATGGTAAAAGCGACGGTACGGAGAAATATGGACAAATTCTCAACAACAACATCACTTCTGATAAGGATGATTGTGATGATAATGATGATGATGATAATAATAATAATAATAATAATAATAACGACTATGATTATGATGTTGCCAAAGACAAAGGCGAAATCAATATCTCCCCTACAGCCATGGCCAACACAGTTAGCATCAATACAACAAACCACACTAACTCTACTAACAACAAGAATGTAACCACCAATGCAAATACTCTTACGAAAGCAAAGCCTAACTCTACGACCACAACAACTAACGACGACTCCGAAGACTACTATGACGTCAGAGACGGCGATGACGTCAGAGATTACGACAGTCGTAATGACGACCGTGTAAAAATCGCCGATACCGTCAAATCGTTGCATCAGTTACTGCTCAGGTGCAATGCTCTGACGATGCGTGTTAAGGTAATCTCTGATCTGCTTCTTATGACTAATGAAGAACTCGTGAAGTTGGAAGCTCTGGACGGAACTCTATGGGAGGACCATGATCTTAAGACTGGCTACATTGGTTCGGTGAGTAGAATGTTGGTGATGATTGTTGTGTTATTAATAATAATTATTGTAATAATAATAATAATAATACTTACTACAATAAGTTCATGTAATATACGATGTGACGAAATGATGTTATTATTAATAATAACAATAACTATAACTATGATAATAATAATAATAATAATAATAACAAGGGTGAAAATGATGAAAATGACGGTGACGATGATTCAGTTGTTTCACCATCTTGTTCTTAACCATAAAAATTATCATTATTATTACGCTTATTAATATTAATTAATTAACTTTCGCGTCTCGAATCGATATTTTCTCGTTATCAATCGAGATTTATACCGATACGTCTTCATCACCATATCATCGACATTATCTCGTCTCGATAGCAATTTTTTCAGAAGCCTAATGATAATGAAAAATCGTTCACCATCGTCGTCATCATCGTCTTCATCCTTCTTCTTATCATCATCGTTGTTATATTTATTGACGTCATCGTCATCATCTTCATCATCACCATCATCATAATCCTCATCACCAGTGCCATTTTCTTTGACATCATTGTCATCATCGTCGTCGTCATCGTCGTCGTCATCTTCCTCCTCATCATCATCATAATCAGCATCACTTTCCCGCCATTGTTGCCAGACGACAATGGAGGCTTCCGGAAAGATTTATCACTTCGCGTGTTTTCAGCCTGCGACCGTCGTTGGACTAGAATAATAATAATAATAATAATAATAATAATAATAATAATTAGAGTAATAATAATAATGTAATATTATTATAATGATAATAATAATGATAATAATTATAGTAATAATAATATAATATTATTATAATGATAATAATAATAATTAATTAATGTATGAGCTTTTACAATTCTGTGAAAATTTGAGATATTGGAAACATTATATAATAAAAACTACCAATATTACACTTGCTGCTACCACTACTACTGCTACTACTACTACTGCTGCTGCTACTTTTACTGTCACTACCACTACTACTACTGCAGCTGCTACTGTTTCTATTTCTGCTACCACTGCAATTTACTACTAATATAACTTAGGATAATACTACACCAAATGTGTACATTTATACTGCATTGCAAATTTGTCATGAATAACAATAGTGTAGAGTTTATGTTACGATAATGCCATATAGCACTAAAATTACAAGCATTAACACTGTTATAAAGGTTGAAATCGACACTAATTATTTGTAAAAAAGAATTTTTTTGTTTATTTTTTCACGGAATAACTGGTGTGTGACGTAACGACAAGGCTGTTGACAATGGACCAATGAGGTGTCGTCTTTTCAAATGTCTCCAACCAATCGCGTCGCATTATTCAGCGTTGACAGTGATTTTATTGTTCGTTTGCTGCATCTTGTGAGTTTCTGCGTGTGTGTGCGTGTTGAAATGTGTGTGTGTGCGCGTGCGTGTGTGTGCGCGTGCGTGTGTGTGCGTGTGCGTGTAGATCTACTAGATATGTATTTGTGTTTGAGTGTGTGTACAAGTATGTGTATTTATTAGCGTGTTTTTATTTGTATTACTAATTTTTATTTATTTGTTAAGTTATATTAGCAACACGTTTGTTTATCACTCTCTTAATTATCGATAACCATTATTATCGATATATTCAGCCTCAAAGTTCATCATCATCATCATGTATGTATGTATGTATGTATGTATGTATGTATGTATGTATGTATGTATGTATGTATGCATTTATGTATGTTTGTATGTATGTTTGTATGTTTGTATGTATGTTCGATTTACTTCCATGACAACAGATGTTTCTAATGTGTATGCAATCTCTGTATAACATGCACTTGTACGTTTTTTTGCTTTGTACTATTATTTATCTATTTATTTATAATTACAAAAACTCAATTCAATGATAATAATAATAATAATAATAATAACAAAAAATAATAATAATTATAATAATAATAATAATACTTTTTCTTATACATGTTGGTGGAAGCATCATCAGAATAACGTGCAATGTCTTTTCTGGATATATTTTTTTTAAATTAGTTGGAATTCAAAAATTTGTCAGCATGTTTAGTGAATTGATTAATTGATACTTTTTTTTAAACAGGCAAAACGTCAAATGAATCGACAACAACAACAGCAACAACATCAACAACAACAAAAACAGAGTCACATCTGGGTTTTTCCGACGGATTTAGAAGAAATTTCCATTTTAAAAACATTTGCCGCCTCCAATGACAACGATGCGGTTTCATCAACAGCTAAACAGTTTTTACAACAACTGCAACAACAACATCATCAACATCATCATCAACAACAACATCATCATCAACAACAACAACATCATCAACATCATCAACATCAGCAACAACAAAAGAAATCTGAATTTGTTATAAATTTGGAGAAAAAAATTAAAAAATTTGATGCTGACAACAGTGACAATGATAATAAAACTATCGGAAATGATTACGATGATAAGAAACAGCAGATGGCAAACATCACCAAAGAACCAAAACTAAATGACGACATAGCAATTGCTGCCGATAACATAGACGTGATGGTGTTGAAAGATGATATACCCGTGAAATCGGTCAAAAAAACCAGTCAGTATTTCAGATTTCTAATCAATATAAATTTGTAATAGCAGATTGATCTAATTAAAAAAATCTATTTAATTAATTAATACATTCATTTAGTCATTAAATCGTTTGTAATTAATTAATTGATTAATTCATCCATTCGTTCGTTCGTTCTTACTGTCACGTTCAATCAATCAGGCGATCGATTGTAAAAATAACGAACTAAAAATCGGGCGGTTTTTTCTTTTGTTAAAAATAAAAATAATAATAATAAATAATTATGTTAATAATAATAAATAATAATTTCATTCTTTAATTATTAATCATATTTTCAGACTCACGGAGTAACACGCCGCTGGCGACGTTGGAAAACTACGACCTCCCAGTGACTAGGTCAAGGTCGAGATCAAATAGCATCACCAATAATAATAGTAATAATAATAACAATAATAATAATAATAATAATGACGATGATGTTGATATTGACATAAAAAATAACAAATCTACTGCTAATAATGAGGTCAAAAACGGCAAAGACATGAAAGCGATTGAGAGGGCGAAAGTTGGCAGCCCCATCGGTCAGCTGCACCAACGCCACCAACGTTCAACGCCACAACAGCAGCAAAATTTTTTCAAAATCAACCAGCTAACTGCTTTGCACGCTTTCAACCCATTTGTCAACCCATTCTTCAGCCCTCCACCACATCTCATCCCACCTCTGACCTCTGAACTTTCACCCCTACGCCAACATTCTTTGTTTTTGCAACAGTTGCAACAACAGCAGCAGCAGCAACAGTTGCAGCAACAACAGCAACAACATCAAACTTACTCCGCCAACGGTAATATCATTTCTCAACATTTCCTGCCCGATTTCCTGATGGCTTCCAACTTATCGACCACCGTCAATGATGGGCACAACTTGTTGAAAACTTATGAAAAACAGGTGGAAAATTTTTTCAAAAGTTCCACAGCCACCACAAATTCTGAAAATATTTTTGAAAATGGAAGCGCCACAAATGAACGAACTAAGACGAACGTCTCACGACAAAATTCAGATTTGCAACCAGCACCGACTGAGAACTTATCGAAGAAACCACCATTACCGCCAAATAAGTTGAAAGTTAAAAAACAAAACTTAGAAACCGCCATTGACTACAGTACAAAACGACACAAAACTGATCTCTCCCCAAACAACCACAAAATCAGCAGCAGTTGCAGCAACGACAACATCCACCGCCACCACCACAGCAACAATACCAGAGACAACTTGTTCAACGTTGGAGAACCAGCACATGATTACTTCAATGTCGCCAATACCTACTACAAATTTCAACCGTATAGCAACTTGTTGCAACAACATCAGCAACAACTTTCAGTATCATCACAAGCAACATCAACAACACAACTTCTTTTATCTAAAACCGGCAAGCCAAAACAATCGCAGAAGCAAGGCACCCTCGCCTCTTCATCACTATCTCACCATCACCAACACAAAACAACAACATCAAAATCCACTCCACTAAAATCGAAAACCAAACCAGGGCAACTTAATTTGGCTTCTGGTTTTGGTCTAGGGACTTCCCCACAGCATCAGGAGCACATTCCAGGCTACGGGGGAACCACGCTGACGTCATCTGGCAAGAAAAGGGTTCTTTGTACCGCTTGTCAAAAAACTTTCTGCGACAAAGGTTTAACGATAGTTGAAAATATGATTTTATTCAATAGATAGAATTCGCTAATAAGCAGCAAATTCAAAAACTCTGTAGAAGCATTTCATGCCAGCACATACAGGCCACACATTGCAAAACACAGCTTCACACACACACACACACACACACACACGCACACGCACACACGCACAAACACAAACAAGCATACACACGCACAAACAAACACACGCACACTCAGGTGCCCTCAAGATCCACTACAGTGCAGTCCACTTGAAAGAGATGCACCGCTGCACGATCCCCGGCTGCCTCATGACCTTCAGCAGCCGTCGCAGCAGGAACAGACACAGCGCCAACCCGAACCCGAAGCTGCACACCCCTTCGAGCGCTGTTGGACTTGCCGGGCAGAGTTTACTCGGATCGTCAGGGGGGTCCAGGATGAAGAAAAAATGTCTTATTTATGGTGCTCGAGAGGATGATAACATCAATAATGGTAGCAACAATGCAGGGGAGATAGGGGAGGTACCCCGTCTGACTGGCGGATGTTTCGGGCTTAATGTTGGCTACTCTGGTGAAATGAGGATTTACGATGGTGAGAAGGATGATGACGATGACGACGACGACGATGAAAATGATAAAAAAGACGGCTGTTACGATTACAGCTATTACTACAACAAATATCAACAACAGCGTCTGCAACAACAACAACAACAACAACAAAATCAACCAACCATGACGTCATCGTCGTCCCATCTCTTCACACCTTCACTTCCACCATCATCATTTTCATCATCATCATTATCAGCACCACTTCTGCTAATGACATCACTACCACAGTCGTCATTCCCATCACAAGTTGCAACATCGTCATCGTCGTCTGCTGTCCATGGTCTGCTGTTAGAAGTTAGGGCATCTCCAGGGAAATTTTCGTTTGACCAACATTTGGCCACCAAAAATGACATCAATATCAATAACTACAATAACAACAATAATAACAAAAATCATTACCATGATGTTGTTACGTCATCTCGCCCAGCGTCATCGTCATCTTCTTCCTCCGTTTCAATTGGCTACGAGGAAAATGACGTCATTAAGTCTGCCGCTAATACTAACACCTCAGCGAACGGTAAAAATACTGTTGCTGCTACTACTATAAATTGTAGTATTACTAACATGACTGAAAATACTACATGTAATGATCAACAACATCAACAATTACATCAATTAAGGAAGAGGAAACTTACTGTCCCCACCAAAGTAACAACAGACAACAACATCAACATCAGTAACATCAACAACAACTCAAACAACAATGACATTAACTATAAGGGTAGTAAGGCTGCCGACGACGAAGATGAAGAAGACGACGATAGTGATGACATCAGCAGCAGCAACAACAACCAAAATATTTACGAGAGAAGCGCAAAGAGGAAATTGTTTGACATTCAGCCGTCACATCAATCGCAACAACAACACACAAACAACAACCAAACAATTACACCAAAAACTTTAACCACTGTTTCAACAAACAGCAACTTTGAAAACGTCATCAATGACGTCATCACCAGCAAAACAAATATCAACAACAACAACAACATCAACAGCATTAACAACAACATCAACAACATCAACAACGTCAACAATAGCAACATCAACGACAATTTCACAACCAACAACAACACACCATCTCGCGAGAAAATATACGATGAAGATGATGAAGACGATGACAATAGTGATAACCATGATGATGATGATGACGAAAATGATTATGACGTAGCAATGACGTCGCTTAACTGTCACGAAATTCTGGACATTACTCTGACTAAACCTCTGCCAAACAACAACTCTCAAAAATCGGTTCTATTATAATATATCCTTATATCTTCAATTTAATTATATTCACTTATTATTAATTTTATTTATTTATTATTGTTGTGGTATTATTGATATTATTCATTAAATTTATAGTTATTGTTGTTATTTTAAGTTTTAATTGTATTTAATAGTATAAAATATACCATAATTTAAGTTTTGCCACTAAAATCATTTGCAATAATTCTTTTTTCAGACGACACCCACCACAACAAACACATTCCCGAACGCTGCGGCAACCACAAGCCACACCACCATCACTACCTCTACCACTACTACCACCAACGACAACAACAACAACAAGACGGACAATCATGACGTCATATGTCACGTGTGCCACGTCAAATGTAGGGACAAGCTGGCCCTGAAGGAGCACACCGAACTCATCCACCCGCGAAAGATGTTCCCCTGCTACGTAGGCGGCTGCGGAAAAGTTTTTTCCACTCTGAAATCACGAAATCGACACAGTCAGAACGCTAACATGCACAACAAGCAGACGACGAGCAGCACCAAATGGTGAATTGAGACTGTGTAAATTAAAAGCGCCAGTTGTGGAAAGACGGGAAGAATTAAAACCGCGAAAAATTAAAATCGCGAATGTTTCAATGTTGACAATTTGAGGTACAAAATCCAACGCAATTGAATGGAAAAGCGAAAAGTTAAAAACGCGAATTTTATCAAATTTTTAATTCTTTGTAATACACGTACAAATTTATTTGTTTTATCTTAGGGAAAATTATATTATCAATTTCTTGTTATCAATGTTTAAGTATGTGGACGTGCAATCATAGACAATGTAAACTTGTGTCTGCGTGTGTATGTCTGTTTGTGTGCGTGTCCGTTTGTGTGCGTGTGTGCGTGAATTGTGCAATCGTATCTCTACTCATGTTTTCACATTGAAAGGTTAAATTAATCTTTGCTCGTTAGGGTAAATGTATGATAAATAGAACAGCATAATTTCATTTATTGGTTGATTGAAAGTTTGTGCTTGTTTGCCTGCGTTCGTGTCTGTGTGTTTGTGATGTGAATGTGTGAGTCTGTGATTTTGTGTGTGTGTGTGATGTGATGTGTGTGTGCGTGTGTGTTGGTGTGCGTGAAGTTTGACATTACGAATCCACATTTTTTTTTGTAATAATGATGAACACCCATATTAATTCAAACGTTGTTTAGATACTCTTTTTTTACTGTCTTGAACCATTTTGAATAATTTTGAAATTAAAATAGTCGTATCAGGACCAATATAAATATATAAATATAATTAAGTGTGTGTGTGCGTGTGTGTGTGTGTGCGTGTGTGTGTGCGCGTATATATCAGACCATATCGTTTGGTATTCCGATACCGTCTTTGCTTGCTTTTATGATTTCAATTACCTGAAAATTTTTGTTGAATAAAATTTTAGAAAAATATTATTTTGAGATGAATTTTTTATGTTTTATTCATCTCAAAAAATTTAGACTTCCGTTCGTTCGTTCACTCGTTCACTCAAACACTCACACGCGTTTATTCATTAATTCATTCGTTCGTTAACTCATATATTTATACATTCATTCATTCATTCATTCATTCATTCGTTCGTTCGTTCGTTCGTTCGTTCGTTCGTTCGTTCGTTCGTTCGTTCATTCATTCATTCATTCATTCATTCTATCCAAACCACGAACTTTTTCCTGGTCGACCGTTTCAAATATGTGAGGTGCATTGATGAGAATTCCCAGCGTTCCTCCGATCGTGATGGCCACAAATACGTACAACTGCAACCTATCTATGACAGACGCTACGTACCGCCAATCGTCTAATATCTTTGTCCGTGTGCATGTGTTTGTTTACGTGTGCTTGTTTGTGTGTGTGTGTGAGTGCGTGTGTATGTGTTCGTTTACGCGTGTGTGTGTTTGTTTGTGCGTGCGTGCATGTGTATGTTTGTTTATTTGTGTGTGCGTGCGTGAAAATCAAATGAAATCACTTATTTGAACTGCTGAAACAATGAAGGCAGTTAAATTAATTAAACCTTGTCGAACTTATCTCTAGTTTAAGTTGTGAATACCGTTAAGGAATAAAAGAATTTAACTTGAATTTGATATTTCAAGCGTTTATTGGCAGTTTTAAATTGAAATGTTTCTTGTGGGTTTCAAAAATTTGTCGTGATGAAATGATGATGAAACTTTTTAAAAGACGATTCACTCAGGGTCCTAACCAGTTTTGAATTATTTATAAGAACTAAATTAATTTCATTTGCAAAGTCAAATAACTTCAAATTAAAAATGTAAATAGAAAAATAAAAATTTGAGACACACCTCGTTGTAATCATCTTCATTTTTCAAATGGGCCGCAACCAGCTTGATGGCTTCAATCGCTTTGATGGCGTCTGGAGAGGAGGCAGGCCCTGTGTAACACTTGGTGTCCGCGGAACGACGGTCGTGGTAGACCCCACTGTCACCCCCGTCGTCGTAGAAAGGGTAGATTGTCGATTTGCGTCGAGGTTTTGGTGGGGAGTCTACGAAGGACTTGTTCTGTTGTCTCGTGAAGGGGTTCAGTGTTTGTTTAGGATCATTAGTAAGATGTTTTTCAATTTTTTTTAGTTAGTTTTGTTACAAATTCATAAGAATTTTAGCATATTGACTTTTTTATTTAAAGGCCATTTGAAAATATTGAATGACATTCCATGGCATTTTATAAAATTCAAATGGCATTTTTTCATGTTTACATGATAACTACAAAAAAATCCGACTACAACCAACAAAAACAAACCGGATACGCTCTCGTAACTCCAACTTTTCCACTCCTAACACCTCCCAAATTGTTACATTGAGAACTGGCACCGACGTTGGAGCTACCCCCACTGGGACCCTTACAACCCATCTGCTGATTTTTCCTCCCACCTCCACCACCTACGACGTCTTCATTGAATGGCTCTTCCTCCAGGTCGTCATCAGATCTTCCAGGACAACAGCGTACATCGTTCTTGTAGTCGGCTTCTCTCATCTGGCGGCTGTCGTGCCTGTGGGCGTAGAGTTTTTTCTCAGTTCGTTTCTCGTGGTTCGGCCTCTTCATCATGACCACCCTCGGCAAGTAGTTGAGGAACAGCGAACGTATCCACCTGTGCATGCGGTGCGTCCGCGGAGTTCGAAAGTTCCAGTTGATGATGACGACCGTGATGATGATGGTGCAGAAGTTCATGATGAAGGTGAAGAGGAGGTATTTGGCTATCAGCGGTGTGGTTACTGAGGTCGGCGGGAGAATTTTGGAGACCAGTACTAAGAAGACCACCTGGGTCGTGGCCGTGATGGTGGAGGTGAAAATGAGAAATATGGTGAAATAATGTCAAAAACAGTCAGTAATTAAACGTTGGAACAGTTAACAACGATAACTACAATGATAAAATGTTTAATAATTACAATTTAAACAAAACAAATATCAATTCAAAATTTCAAAAAAAATTTATCACCTAACAACTACAACAACAACAACAAATTTGCCACTAACGACAATCAACCAACAAACAACACAACAACCAACCAATCAACCAACCAACCAATCAACAAGCCAACCCATTAACCAGCCATCCAACCAACCAATCAACCAGCCAACCAATCAACAAACCAACCCATTAACCTGCCATCCAACCAACCAACCTACCAACCAACCAACCAACCAACCAGCCATCCAACCAACCAGAGCCAGCAGTATAGAAATGCACATGGTCATCTTTTCATGTGCGTCAGCGGGCAAGAAAAAAACACAGAAACTCAAGAAGGTAATAAGCACACACGGCAGTATCAAATTAACTGTATAGTACAATGTCTTGCGCCGTATCGTCAACTTATACGTAATCATTGAAATGTTGTGCTGTCCATCTTTGTCCTGGCTGGTCAGTTGTCCGGGGCAAGCTATGAGGTCCCACGAGCCGCTGGGCGAGTAATCTTCAAGGTCAACCTTTTGTTGACCTTCGTACCACCCCAACACGACCTTTCGAGTAGTAATTATATTGTTGGTAATTTTATTCAAAATTTTTGAAAATTTTGAAGTTGTATAACTATTAAAATGTAAGTTTTAAGAACTATTATCAACTTTATCGACCAACCGACCGACCAACCGACAGACCAACCGACCAACCGACCGACCTGCAGATCATTAAAAGTCCACGATCCAAAGTTCATCTCGCACTGCTGCTCATCAAATGGAAAATACTCCACATTTATGGTGCAGGAACTTTTGTAGATGGCTGGAGGAATCCAGAGAACTTTACCGCTGTCGTATATGACCAGGTTTGGTTTGAATGACACCTCGTACTTGCCGTCTGCACTGTTAGCGAAGATGGTTACGAGTCCTTTCTACTCACACACGCACACACTCCCACAGACACTCACACACACATACACAGATACACTCACACACACACACTCACATACATACATACACACACACAAACCTACCCACCCACACACACACACACACACACACACACTGACACAAACAAACAAACAAACCCTCCCCACACAACACACATTAACTAATATCATTCCACAGTATAAATCCCTACTTATTGAATAGAACGATATCAGGCTTCCAAACACGATCCGGTTGAATCCGGATCACTGTGATCCCACCGTACTCGGCTGGATCCCATTCCAACTGGTAATCATACCACATCTTTTGTTGTGTGGTTGGTGAGGGTGGGTGTTTTTTTATTATAATAATAATTATTATTATTATTATTGCTATCATTATTTTATATCTTCGATTATTACACAAACACAAATACACACGCACATACACACACGCACGCAATCACATACATACAAACACACACAAAACGCCTAGCACACGCTTAGTACTAACTATAACCTTGGGGTGTAGTAGTATTTGTGAAGTAATTTGTAATTATGTAATTAGTGTAGCAATCAGTAATTAAATAATATGTAGCTGGTTGGAAAAAATGATGACTGTCTTACCATTCTCAGCCAAACGTTGCTTTTTAAGATCTGATTTTTTTCGTCCTAAAGAATTAAAATTATTATTAATAAATTTTATCAAAATTATGATCAAAATTATGATCGAAATTATGATCATAATTACTGTTTATGTGATGATGAGAGTGATGATGATAGAAGTAATTATAAAGAATTTTAATATGAAACGTGATGACGGAATAACGACCGCAATTGAAAACTACTGATGATGACGATGACGATGATGATGACGAAGATGATGATGAAGACGAGGAAGATGATGACGAAGATGAAGATGATGACGAAGACGATGAAGATGAAGACGAAGATGATGATGACGATGAGGAAGATGACAATGATAAAGATGATGATGATGACGAAGATGATGATGACGATGGTGATGATGATGACGATGTTGAAGATGATGATGACGAAGACAAAGATGATAATAACGATGATGAAGATGATGAAGACGATGAAGATGATGATGATGGTGATTAAATACGACGACGATGGTATAATGAGGCATATATAAGCATCTTGATAAAAAATAGATCATGGAAAATAGTTGAAATGATGAGGATGATGATTATGAAGATAGTGATGAATACGATAATGAAACAATGATGAAACTGAAGAAGAAGATTATGACGATGAAGATGATGATGAAGATGATGATGAAGACGACGATGATGGTAATAAAATAATGATAATGATACAGAGAAACATATTTAAGCATCTTGATACAAATAAATTTTAAAAAATAGCCTAGATGATGAAGACGATGATGATGTAAACATGGTGAAGATGACGATGAAGAAGAAGTTGATGATGAGACGATGATGATGATGATGAAGAAGTGACGATGATGATAAGACTGAAACAATAGTGGTTGTTGCTGTTGTAAATTATCATCTTTCGATAAAAATTGAACGAAGGAAAATAAAAAAGAATATAAAAAGATGAGAGAATAATGGAAGGAAAATGGATAGACAAATGAAAAGATGAATAAAAAACAAAGAAATGTAATATAAACAAAGAGGAATATGCGTGAGTGTGTGTGTGTGTGTGTGTGTGTGTGTGTGTGTGTGTGGTTTGAGCTTTTTTGGCTCTGTAAACAAGTTGCTGAAGAGTGTAATTAAAACACAACAATTGAGTCAGCCAGCCTCCAGAAGGTGCATGTATGTTAGTGTTTATGTGTGTTTTGGTTTGGTTGTATCTTTGTATCTATGGTTGTTTGTTTGTGTTTATGTATGTGTTGCTTAGTATATAGTTATATCTTTGTATGGTTGTGCATGCATACATACACACATTTATGTATGTTGCAAATGTATTTTATTGTGGTGTACAGATATGTGTAAGTGCATTTATGCGTGTTGAATATATTTGTATGTTTGTAATATACATGATAGTGTACACATGAATACATAGAGTTCTGTGTTGTATATATTTTTGTTTGTGTGTTTAGATGTATTTGTTTGTTTGTTTGTATGCTGCTAAGTGTACTTAAGTATGTATCAGCTGAGTTGTTGCAAGTAGATTATTGCTTGTGAAGTCATTAACATATTATACTGCATTTATTCGCTGCAAGTGTTTATATATATATATATATATATATATATATATATATATATATATATTTGTGTGTGTGTACGTTTGTATGTGTGTGTATGTATGTGCGTATGTGTGTTTGTACTTGTGTGTGTATCTGTGTTTGTACGTGTGTGTGTGTACGTGAGTGTGTGTGTGTGTGTGTAANGTGTGTGTGTG